ACACACAAACACACGCACATACACACCTTCACACACGCCCCCCCCCCACACACACACGCAATCACACACACACCCAAACACACACACACACACACACACCCTCACACACACACTCCCACGCCCCCACACACAACCACACGCCCACAAACTCACACACACACACACACCTTCAGGCTCGGCGGGATGCAGAGGAGAAGAAGAAGAGGACAATTCAGCCATGTTGCTTTTGGGTTTTGGGGTGGGGGACTCGGGACTGGGTGAGGAGGGGGGGGGCTGAAGATGAGCTCACAGGAAGTGGAGGGTGGTGCTTCCTCTGGCGGGGAGGTGGAGCTGCTCAGACCAGAGGTTTGTGCTCAGCTCAAGTCAAACAACCAGCATTTCAAACCTCATCAGAGAGTTTAACGCCCTCAGACGCTTCATGAGTTCAAATAATGCAAAATAACTTTCTTTAATTGGCCGCAAAGCTTCAAACTTTAAGGGAAAATATTTCCATTCATTAAGTCCATTAATGTCTGCTTTATTCCAATATGCAACGGCATAAATAAATATTCAAAATTAAGAACAAGTAGTTTAATTTTAAGTTTGTATTAAAACTTCATTTAAATACATCAGATCAGATAATCCAGTTTTTTTGTTACTTTCTGATGTATCTCAAGCTCTCAGATCACATAATATTGGGTTGAAATGTTATTTCTACGAGGAATATCGTAGAAATATCTTTAAGTCTGTGTTTATCTGCGCAAAACAAAACAGTTTTAGATGGAAGAGCCTCAGTGAGAGGGAGGAAGTTTGACTGTTTTCCCCTCATCTCTGAAAACACGTCCAGCCAACTACTGAAAACCTGAAGTGTTTCCCCCCCGGTCTGCTTTGCTGCCACCTCCCTGCCCCCCACAGAGGACAGAACTTCTTTCCTCTGCTTTGTTCTCACTCCACCAGCAGAAAACTGGGCTTCTGACCCCAGACAAAGGGAGTCTTCTGCTACGATTTAGATTTTTCCCCAGAAATCTTCCCTTTTTGTCTGTTTTTGTAAATAAGCTGTCTCCCTTGTTTTTAAAGCTACTTTCAG